ACAAAATGTGGAAAAGTTCAAGGGGGGCGAATACTTTTGCAAGCCACTGTAATATCCAAAACAAAAAAAGCTGTGGTTAAAGCAGCATTTCTTTCTCAATGCTGTTTCCTTGTTAATAAAATTAGGTTTGAATGAACTTGACTCTGATTTGCATTGCACAAAACGGAAAAATCCAGGAAATATCTTGAGCCGCAGGTTAATGTTTAAACCCACAGCACTGATATCTGATACCATTTCTTGTACTCACACAACAATTTAAAACCTATTTTCCGCTGCAAACCTCTTAAAATATCAAATTTAAGCTTTTGTATTCCTCGGAAAAGACAAATATAGAAGAATAAGAAGGGAGAAAGAGAGAAGGAAATGGCTTGGTCGAGCACCTGGCTCCTCTTTTCAGTTTAACCGTTTTGGCTGGTAATACGTGCATGTGTGTGTTCTTGTCTGGAGCTGAGTTTGTCAGCTGCATTGCGTGGGTTAAGGTAATAAAGGGCTCACTGTGTGTGCGGTGGCAGGTGTGCTTGGAATCATGCACACACCCAAAGACAAACACAAAGGACAAACAGGAACAGAACTGAAAGTGAGAGACCTTTGTCATCTAGAAGAAGTGCAGTGCAGTTTTGAAAGTAGAGGTGAGAGTGCAAGTCCGGTTGGTGAAAACGTGCCAGACAGACAATTGAGAAGAGGAAGAAAATGCTGATGACAGGCAGCAGTGCAAGACCATTACGCATCTGCGCAACGTAGCTATCTTATCTTCCATCACCATGCAAAACCATAACAGACTACTCGAGTGGCTGAAGTCCTTCCTTAATACATGACCTATTAAAGGCTTTGTGCTAAACGGCTAAGGTGCAGCAGAAGAGAAAATATTTGATCATGTTTGCCAACATCAAGTAATGTCCTGCGTATTCTGCCTCCTGAGTGTATTGAATATACACTGAATAGTGCTGAATAGTATCCCCTGTGGAACGCTCCACATGCAGTCAGAATCTAGGCTGAACTGCAAGACAAATATTTTTACAATGCACGCGGTAATGTCACGTTGTGCAAATGTCAGCCTCACAGGAAAAACAGACAAGCAAAAAAACAGTGTTTCAGTCAATCGTACTGCAATTATGGTTTCCCACCAGCAGCTACCAAAGAATGAGATCCAAAAGAAAATCCTCTTCAAGCTCAAGTATTATTTTGGAACAAACTTGTTGCCAACACAATAAAAAGTAACTGTGCAAATACTCAGTAGTGGTAGGGGAAACACACACACCACCTTGGAATGAGACGCTTGCTAAGGCATTGTGTTGCATTGTGCACACAGAAACGTAAGGCTCTAACAACTGCAACACATTTAGCTACATGTGAGGCCTTGACAAGTTTTTTCTTGTTTCACATCTTGTGTGACGTTTCACTGGTTCGACCATCTTGACCTAAATCTGAAGTGTTCTGAAATGTAATTCTCACTATCAGTTTTCCTCAGACTATGTTAGCTTGTGATCTCTTGGTAGATGTTTCTCACGGGGGCCCCTTTCTTGTTAAATTAAGCAACAATGGTCAAAGCTTTCTGAGGTTCTCAATAATTACTTTATAGCTCTGTCATAAAAGAGAAGCTAGCTTTTGCAACAGAAACAACAGGGTCCTAAATCAGCTCTACTTGCCACAAGTTCATCTGACCTCAGTACATTTCACACCATTAACAATTATTCAAATGGGTATACAACAAAGATAGTTTAACTTAAAGTTGTTAGTTCCTGACACATAATTAGCTAATTGGATGGGGCTAAGGCACTTGAATTCTCTGCTTTGTCCCAATTGACTCTGAAGGCAGATGTTGGCGGTGGGAGTGATGTCACTCACAAGTTCAGAAAACAAGCCTGGTCACAACTGTGCAACAGTGGTAGTGCATTGTACAGGTTTTTACAGTTTTGGTAATGTTCATGTGCACGACTACCATTTTGGACTGTGAAGTTGGGGTCGGTGGAGCTGAAAGTCCAACTTGAGTTAAACTGGGACTCAGAAATTTAGAGATCAAATGCAGCAGATCCATAAACAGCAGTAGAACTTTAAAACTTGTAATCTCTACTGCAACCTTTGTGTATTTCGTGTTATTGTGACTTAAACCACAAAAA